TGAGGTCTGCATGTTCACAGAGTATTAGTCCATTGGATTAATAATTGGACAGCATCAAAGAAGTGGGATGGAAGGGAGTGCATTGCGTGGTGTTCCTTTGTGACTATGTATCTTCTTCCAGCCCCTTCCTGTCTGACTTTCTTTCCTTCCTACCTATCATAAGGTAAGTAAGTTCTGCTTTACCACACTCTTCCACCATGATGCTTAGTTGCATCACAAGCCTATAAGAAATGAAACTCTGGCTAATCAGGGACCAATCTCTGAAACTGCAAACTAAAATAAATCTTTCCTCCCTTGTTTATCTCAAGTATTTCTTCACAGCATAGAAAGCTGAACAATACAGAGAAGTTCCCTCATGTGAGACAAATCACTTTTTCTTGTTGCTTTAAAAATTCATTTTTTGACTTTTGATAATTTGATTACAGTGTGATAGGGTAGATTTTTTGAATTCATCTTATTTTGGTCTCGTTTTGGAATACTGGATCTGGATATTTACTTATTTCTCCAGAGTTTGGGTAGTTCTCAGTTTATTGTTATTATTTTTATAAGCTTCTGGAACATTTTCTCTTCTCTTTGTGAAAATTCTATGATGTGCACATTAGTCCTCTTGAAGATATCCCATAAGTCCTTTATACTTTCTTCAACTTTTTATTGCTTCTATGACTAGGTAATTTCAATTAACCTGTTTTCAAGTTTACTTACTATTTCTTCTCTTTCTATTAATCTGTTATTTAATATTTCAATTCAATTTTTCTATAGTTATGGCTCTTCCACTGTAAGATTGTATTTGATTTTTAAAAGAATGCTATTTTTGCTGAAATACTCTGTACATTTTTCTTCTAATATTGCTGAGCATTTTCATAACGGTTGTTTTGAATTATCTGTCAGATGATTCATGTATCTCTCTCTCCATTTCACTGGACTGGTTTCTGGAGTAATATCTTGTCCTCTTGTTTGGATTTTATTTCGCTCTTTCTGTATTTTCTTTGGCTCTTTGTATTGCTATCTATCTGATAGAATAAAACATCAATTTAATAAATCTTCATGGGTTGGCCTTTTATAGAACACCGTCATCTGTCAGTATAACCAGAGGTTCTTGTTTTAAAATTTATTTTAAAAATAAAAGAAGGAAAACATATTAACAAACAAACATCAATTTACAAAATAGCATAAGAACAATACAAACAATACAGAGTTACAGACAAAGTGGTAGGAAATTAACCATGGTTGTTGTATTACTTATTGATATCTCAAAGTGTTTTCTCAGGAAAACAAATAGAGACATACAAGATTGATCAAACAATAATCATTAACTGTTACTTTCAGTAAAGCAGTAGAAGACAGTAGTACAACTATGTTAGCTATCCTGTATACACATACACACATAATTTCTCCTTCTTTCCCTGCTCTTTTCCCACACCCCAGTTGTCCTTTACTTTTGAGCATTTTCCTTTCATTTCACAATGTCTATCATACCTCCTAGTTTTTATTCACTCTTTCAGGTTCTTACATTAGTGAGACAATATGTTGCTTACACATGCAGGTATGATTTATTTCACTCATGAATATGGTCTCTAGTTGTGACCATTTACCTATAAAAGCCTTGAGTTTATCTTTATTTAGAGCTGAGTAATATTCCATCATATAAAATACAACAATTTGTTTATCCAATCCTCGGTGTATGGACATTTGGATTACTTCCACAATTTAGCAATTACAAATTGCTCCACTATGAACATGGGTGCACATATATGGCTGTGATAGGATGTTTTCAGATCTTCTGGGAAAATACACAGAGAGGTATTTTGTTTTTTGGTTTTTTTTTTTTTTTTTTTGGTTTTTCTCCGGTACCGGGAACCGAACTCACGACCTTGCGCTTGCCAGGCAGGTGCTTTGCCGCTGAGCTAAATCC